ACTAAATGAATTGTTGTTAAGTGGAAGACTACCTGTATGTGATATTGCAACTCCCTTGGCTCAGCAGCCATATTTCTGATCAGAATTTAATTTCTGTACGGCTAGAGCACCGCCTTTCAGGAACACCATTCCGCCGCTCCATTCCAGGCGCTGATCTGGCACACCACCAGCCTGCTTTCAAACTGGAGCTGGCCTGAAACACAGCCAGCAACATGATGTGCCAGACGAGGCCAGACAGAAGCCATCTGCTCACCTTGGCTCTGGGGTTGCCACGAGGAGAGAATGGGAAACATGGACTCCAATTGCAGGAGCCCACTAACTCCTTACAAATTCAAAAGATAAAAAAAATAAAGGCCGTTACCGCCTTGCCATTACAGCAACATCAGTCACCTCTTTATGGAGATCAGGTCCCATTTCTGAATGGATCCGTCGCTCTCTGTAACTAGCAATTTACATACCCAGCCTGCAAGCTGCTGCAAGGGTCAGTGGGCAAGGACTGTATGAATACATGAATCCCTAAAACAGAAATTAGCATCCAGCGCATCTCAATTTAATCTGCAGGCTTGGGGAATGGGGTGGAAAGGTGACCCAGGAACACAAAGTAGAACAGGCCCCAAGCCTGGGCTGGGATTTCAAGCAAAGTCCCTGGGGGGCCTGGATGTCATTTATTTATAGCATCTGGATACTCACTTTCAGCAAAAGTCAGCCCAGACAATACACAATATATTAAAAAAAATAACCATACATTCAAACAACTGAAAGTCCCTTTCAATGGAAGTATTTAAAGTCATAATAATATATTGAAACAATAGAAGCAAAATTAAAATCAACAGCTGGTGAACTTCAACGATGAAGTTGAAAGATATTTATTAGCTGGACTATATAATCTGTTTCTTGCAAATTTGGGTGACAGCTGACAGTATCTGATTGATTTCAGAGCGCACTTTGTATAAGGAAATGAATTAGACTCCTGCTCTTCCTTCAAAAGCTTTGCCCCTTTAGGGTTGCCAAATGATCAGTTAGGCAAATGCTCTGCTCCTGTGCCTTTAAAGACGGTTTGAGATGCAAACAATGGAGATAAGCCTTAGTCCACAGCATGCATTATTCAGGGAGCTTTACCTAATTGAGAGGCAGCCTCCAATGTCACATAACTCCTTACACACACACACACACACACACACACACACACACACACACACACACACAAACACCTTGAGCATGGTCTCTGAACTGAGCAGAGGCATTCATCTAGGTTACTAGAGTTATATGGAGCCCATAAGACTAAAGGTTCTAAACAGCAACCTTATCAGCAAAGTTGAGCTTCTCTTCATGAGATGTCAATCAGCAGAAGTCAGAGAACAAGGGCCTACATCAAGCTGAAGACTGAGCCAAGAAAACACACCCACATTCCCTTAATCACATATGATCTTCATCACATATTTTGAATTGCAAAATAACAGAGTTGGAAGGGACTTTGGAGGTCTTCTAAGCCAGTGATGGCAAATCTTTTCAGCACCGAGTGCGCAAACCGGAACATGCGTGCATGTGCATGTGTCAGAGCACGGGAAACCCAAAGACCAGCTGGCTGGTGCATGCATGCCTGGTTTTTAGCTGTTTTTCAGATTGTTTTCAAACTGTTTTCTGGGTCATTTTCCAGGCCAAAAGCAGACTGAAAATGCCCCCCAAAACACCCTGAAAATGCCTCCAAAATGCCCAAAAAATTGGCCCAGTTTTTGGACATTTTTCAGGCTGTTTTCAAGCCGTTTTCTGGCACTCCAGTGCCTGCAAGGACCAGCTGGTCAGTGTGCAT